GCGAAGAGCCCGGATCTCAATCCCATTGAGCACGTCTGGGACCTGTTGGATCGGAGGGTGAGGGCTAGGGCCATTCCCCCCAGAAATGTCCGGGAACTTGCAGGTGCCTTGGTGGAAGAGTGGGGTAACATCTCACAGCAAGAACTGGCAAATCTAGTGCAGTCCATGAGGAGGAGATGCACTGCAGTACTTAATGCAGCTGGTGGCCACACCAGATACTGACTGTTGCTTTTGATTTTGACCACCCCTTTGTTCAGGGACATATTATTCCATTTCTGTTAGTCACATGTCTGTGGAACTTGTTCAGTTTATGTCTCAGTTGTTGAATCTTGTTATGTTCATACAAATATTTACACATGTTAAGTTTGCCGAAAATAAACGCAGTTGACAGTGAGAGGACGTTTCTTTTTTTGCTGAGTTTACATGCCTCTAAGTGTAAGCACCTTTTCACTAGAAAACATCTTGGGTTAAAATTACCATCAGTGCGAAATAGCTAGAAAGCTTTTGGATTTCCACTGGGCTGCAGCTACGGTCATGAGAACGATAAATAATGTGCAATACCTACGTCGACCTGTGAATCGCAGCAAAACACCGGAAAGCTTCTAGCCTACCAGAACGTTACAAGAAGAACAAGAAGAACAAGAAAAGTTACCTAATCCTGTCATGTGACATTTACTGTTCATATATGTTTCGCGCCACACCAGATGTCTGGATCCTGGACAGATAACAGGTAGGTATTCAGTTCGTCCCATGTTGTAAGAAATACAGCATGCATACGCATTTGTTTTGTGTTTGTTAAAATGTGTGGTTTAAAAAATGTGTTAAACCAGTAAGGAAGGTTACGTAGCTAAGGTGAATAAAGAAAGTTGCATAGACAACATTGAATGTGTGGATATTTTTGTTGCATTACTTGCATATATTTGGATATCATTCTCACTTATTATTTTAGCCACCTATACATTAGGCTATATATTCACCCTTTTCCTCTTTGCATCTTCAAAGAAATAGGGACCCTAGGAGGGATGTAAAGGAGTTGATCAGATCCTGTTAAGACATAGACAATCAGGTGAGAGGAGGTCCGAACTTATCAATTATCTAAATTGATTGTTCATGTACAAGGGAGGAGCCGAAACCTGCAGACACTGTAGCCTTTTAGGACTGGAGTTGCACATGTCATAGAACAACATGAAAAAGAAAGTGACAGAGTAATAATGCATTGTTGGTAAATGGTGACAGACTGACTGATCGGTAAGTAATAGTAAATATTTATTTGTTATGCAAAGTGATTTGTAGATCAGTCAGTCTGCGTGTGGAGGAGGATGAAGACCTTTAGTTACGTGCAGGGCATAGTAAAACACACACACACGCTGTCAATGACATGCAGCTTTTCTATGTGAAGGAATGCGTTAGGATTGGAAGTTGTCTCTTTATGTTTCTTTTGAGATGGTATGGCCTCTGAGGGCCCCCAAGACCAACTGGATGAGGCTATTAAAAAGGCAGAATGGCTTGCTGAGGAGCTCAACCAAGAGAAGGACCCACAAGCCCAACTGGAAGAGGCCATTAACGAGGCAAAAAGGCTGGCTGAGGAGCTCAACCCAGAACCGGTAATGTAACAAGTCGTACATTACCGGTAATATAACCGCTATAACTCCCATACGTGTTCCCAACACACCCCCAGCACCACAGCGTTATGATTTATCATTGCATTTTGTTTGTCAAAGTAGAGCCCTCATGGCACAAATGTAAATTTAAACGTAGACTCAGTGATATGACCTGATCACTGACATCAGTGATATTGCACATTGAGCATGAGGCACAAGGGTGCACTTGTTAGCATCCTTGTGAACTTCTACACATGTTAGCTGTGTGAGTGACCCAGAACGTGGGTCTACTGCAGGTGCCTTTCCTCTGCTGACAAATCACTTCACCTTATGTGAAAATAAGGGCCAGTACATCAAGAGCCAGACCAGTGCAAACGTTTGGCCAGTCACTGAGGAGGAAGAATCAGGTATTGATGAGCGATTGAATAAATTAATCTATACAATTCCTTGTTATTCAGTGGCCTTGTAATTCATTTAATGTATTTTCTTTTAAATTAAAGCTGTAATCGGTAGTTGAAACAATAACAAAGCATACTCCCCTCCCCTGTTTTGGTAAAAAGCTCTCCTGTTTTGGTAAAAAGCTGAGTGATGGGGTTGGGGAAATGTAACCACTTTCAATTTTTAGACAGAGCTATGGATGCAATAACTTACCATCAATTATATTAAAATAATAGTTTTAACAATTTTTTAAGGCTATACAGTGTTTGTTTACATTTACTTTGTTTGCAAACATTTGACTAAAACGACTTTATAGTTTGGGTAAAACAAGCTTATATTTTGGGTTCTGATGGGTTGAATTAAACTCATGAGGCAATAATAAGTTATAATCTTCAAGAATACATATAATTAATATAAGTCCAAAAATGGCTGTATCAACTTCTGAATGCCCCTTTAAGTCTGATCCTTTTTTTGCATATCTTATTTTAGCGACAAGGACCAGTGGATTGGAATCCACTCCAGTTTTCAGCATTGATGAAGAAATAGGTTTTAAATTGTTTCACTGTCAAAATTGGGGTCACTTTGGTGTTACTGAATTATACTCCACTGCATATTTATTTTGACCGTGATGCAACATTTTTAAATGTGGCTCTATTCTCCAGAATTTCGGATTTGAGATCAAATGTTTGGTATGAGGTTACATTACAGTATGTCACCTTTTATTTTAGGGTATTTTCAGACATATCTGATTTACCGTTTAGAAATTAAAGTACTTTATATGTCGAGTCCCTCCCCCCATTTGAAGATGTCAAGTATTTGGACACGTATCACTTAGTGGGTTAAAGTAGTCAAAAGTTTAGCATTTGGTCCCATATTCCTTGCACACAATGACTACATCAAGCGTGTGACTCCACAAACTTGTTGGATGCATTTATAGCTTGTTTTGGTTGTTTCAGGTTCTGTTTTTCCCAATAGGAACTGACGAGAGTCATTTTCTTTCTAATTGAGTAAATCATATGTTGTAGTTTTTTTTTTGGGGGGGGTATGATTTTTGTTCCTCTAACTTTCTCACTTTTTGACAGTAAATCTCCCACTTCTGATCTCCATTGTAGAGAACATATAGGGTAGCTCAGCACCCTCAGCTAGATTTGAAAAACTTAACCACTGTCCCGTTAACGCTTCCCCCCCAAAAAAATTCCTTGTCTAGGGTTATGGAAAAGGGGTATGTGGAGCATCCCAGTGGACAGCAGCTAAAGAGTCATCAAGGAAAACAAACGACAAACTTGATGAAGAGGTACTCGAAGTTGCCGTCTGCCGCCACGGAATACTTCTGAGGAGCCTCAACATGATGCGTGGAGAGATCTTTGCGTACCCGCTGTTCTTGCAGAATGAGTTGTCCATACCTGACCAAAGTTGCTCTTCATTGTCCAGAGCTCGCCACTCTTCTAGACATGAAGCCACTTCTTTCCGTCATGCATGCAAAGGCACATCGTTTGAAATGCGAGGTACCTTTTTCTTTATTAAACTGTTGAAAGAGAATTTCCAGCGTCAGTCCTTTACAAGGTTTCCCATTTAGATGTTTGTTATTCACATAATTGCAATATTAAGTCAATATTATTTTTGATGTAAATTAAGATTAAGTGGAGAGGACGGAATCAGGAAGGAGCTGGCACAACTCTGGGGGAGAAAGTGGAACAAGGGAACAGCTTCTTGTCGAGGGCTGCAATCTGTTCCAAGCAAATGTCCAAAGGAGGTAAACAATTTGTTTAAGGTTGTTCTATTCAGCTATGTTAGCACTTATCTGGAATAAGGAGTTCTATTTGGCTTTTCTAGCAAGAACAGACATGCTAACCATCCAGGCCATGGGGTGGAACAGAAGAAAGAAGAAGAACCTGGACAGAGCATTGTCCAGAAGATACTTGAAGGTGTATTGTGTGGATCAATACATTTCTTTTAGAAGTATTATATATATGCATTTTATTTATTTTAGAACAATTAATTATTCCGTTTTATTTTTGTCATAATTCTCAGACTTCAGCAAAAATCCAGGAGGAGACCCAGACTCGAAAAGTTGAAGAGTGGTTTGGGTGTAGGCGATGAGACTCTGGACAACGGAAGTTAAGCAATGGGCTAACTCCTGGACTGTCACCTTGATGTGGTGGAGAGGCTTGCGTACTCCAATGACCCTGAGAGCTAAGCCGGAGAGGGTGTATTCCACCGGCAGGTGCAATCAAGCCGGACAGGTCGAAGGGTAGGAGGCAGACAAAATATTCACTGGTCCTCCAGGTTGGGGGTTATGCGTGGGGCTCACTCACCCACCACATAACAAATAATTTGTTACAAAAACCTTTGCAGGCCCTATGTTCCTCCAGGAAGTGAGTGCAACTACTCACCGTGGGACATATATTGTCAATTTATAGATTTATTGTATTTCAGAGGAAACAGCTGAGAACCTGGATGGTCCCCAGGTACTACAGAGAACAATTGAAGTCCTGTTTCTTAGCATCAAACAAAGGAAATAGAACCTCTACCGTCAGACAGGTTTGTGAAATTTCATGAATATTTAATTGCACACAGTTAATTTCTCTTTAATTTCAAAGCCATGCAATTGAACAAATAATTCCATTCTCCTTTTGTTTTGATGACAGATGGATGCAAGAAACGTCACCAAAAAGATATTGGAAGAAAAGGACAAATTGACAGCTGCCATAGAGGAGTACAACACCCTTGTACCAGATTCAGCAATACCATCTGCAGATGAGATCCTTTCCGCAGACCTTCATGCATGGCCTTGGGAGCTGCATGGACAAAGTAAGTAGTATGTTCGTGTGTCACGATAACTATGTTTCTGTTATGCTATCTGTGTTTGTTCAGTTGCACAAACACAGACAGCACTACCATTAAAGTTACAAATCCACATTGCATTCTTATGAATTTACAGCTGACCTACTCACAAAGAAAATGGTCTTTGACCGAGTGATGCTCCTGAGACGGCTGAAGGAGGAAGAGTTAATTGTCCTAAAGGAAGTCAAGACCTTGCTTCACATGTGGCACTTGACCTAACCAGGCAAAATAGGGGAACTTTCATTAATACGTACAATTGTATTTAAGGAATACATTGTGTTTAACCTACACATTGCGATTGTTGTTGTTAGGCTGGCAATTGAATCAGTCAGAAGCTGGGAGCAGAGGTCTCTTCTCCATGCTTCAGAGGAGAGTCAGTAGCCTCAGAAGACACCAGGACTCTGTCAAACTCATATACAGCAAAGCTATGGGCCAAGACACCTCCCTCCTAGAAGATGACTTCATAGATGACCTCCTGGAAGAGGACCTAGATGACATCTATGACAGCATCCACTGCAGCTCGGATGACGAGGAATCTATCACAGATTCATTCATTTTGCATATGTGCCTTATCTGCCTTCCTAAGGAGAAATAGTTTGAACATACATTATATGGAAAATAAACGTATGTTTCTGCCTTATTGACAATGTGATCAGGTGATGTAACAGAGACATTCTTATAATACAGAAACCGGAAAAGTTGTGAACTACAAATGTGGCGCCATTTTGTAGTTTTTTCCTAACCCTAACCGGTTTGTTCTTTATCAATATCTTCGCCAATAGCATTCTAATTGATGTGTAGAATGATATGTACATTCATTAGGACATACATAAGGCTGTACTGCATCAGCACAGGCCAATTCAATGTCTGAAGTGGTGCACTTTTTGAAATGGGTTTTTCCGTCATAACTACACTGCTCAAAAAAATAAAGGGAACACTAAAATAACACATCCTAGATCTGAATGAATGAAATAATCTTATTAAATACTTTTTTCTTTACATAGTTGAATGTGCTGACAACAAAATCACACAAAAATTATCAATGGAAATCAAATTTATCAACCCATGGAGGTCTGGATTTGGAGTCACCCTCAAAATTAAAGTGGAAAACCACACTACAGGCTGATCCAACTTTGATGTAATGTCCTTAAAACAAGTCAAAATGAGGCTCAGTAGTGTGTGTGGCCTCCACATGCCTGTATGACCTCCCTACAACGCCTGGGCATGCTCCTGATGAGGTGGCGGATGGTCTCCTGAGGGATCTCCTCCCAGACCTGGACTAAAGCATCCGCCAACTCCTGGACAGTCTGTGGTGCAACGTGGCGTTGGTGAACGGAGCAAGACATGATGTCCCAGATGTGCTCAATTGGATTCAGGTCTGGGGAACGGGCGGGCCAGTCCATAGCATCAATGCCTTCCTCTTGCAGGAACTGCTGACACACTCCAGCCACATGAGGTCTAGCATTGTCTTGCATTAGGAGGAACCCAGGGCCAACCGCACCAGCATATGGTCTCACAAGGGGTCTGAGGATCTCATCCCGGTACCTAATGGCAGTCAGGCTACCTCTGGCGAGCACATGGAGGGCTGTGCGGCCCCCCAAAGAAATGCCACCCCACACCATGACTGACCCACCGGCAAACCGGTCATGCTGGAGGATGTTGCAGGCAGCAGAACGTTCTCCACGGCGTCTCCAGACTCTGTCACGTCTGTCACATGTGCTCAGTGTGAACCTGCTTTCATCTGTGAAGAGCACAGGGCGCCAGTGGTGAATTTGCCAATCTTGGTGTTCTCTGGCAAATGCCAAATGTCCTGCACGGTGTTGGGCTGTAAGCACAACCCCCACCTGTGGACGTCGGGCCCTCATACCACCCTCATGGAGTCTGTTTCTGACCGTTTGAGCAGACACATGCACATTTGTGGCCTGCTGGAGGTCATTTTGTAGGGCTCTGGCAGTGCTCCTCCTGCTCCTCCTTGCACAAAGGCGGAGGTAGCAGTCCTGCTGCTGAGTTGTTGCCCTCCTACGGCCTCCTCCACATCTCCTTATGTACTGGCCTGTCTCCTGGTAGCGCCTCCATGCTCTGCACACTATGCTGACAGACACAGCAAACCTTCTTGCCACAGCTTGCATTGATGTGCCATCCTGGATGAGCTGTACTACCTGAGCCACTTGTGTGGGTTGTAGACTCCATCTCATGCTACCGCTAGAGTGAAAGCACCGCCAGCATTCAAAAGTGACCAAAACATCAGCCAGGAAGCATAGGAACTGAGAAGTGGTCTGTGGTCACCACCTGCAAAACCAGTCCTTTATTGGGGGTGTCTTGCTAATTGCCTATAATTTCCACCTGTTGTCTATTCCATTTGCACAAAAGCATGTGAAATGTATTGTCAATCAGTGTTGCTTCCTAAGTGGACAGTTTGATTTCACAGAAGTGTGATTGACTTGGAGTTACATTGTGTTGTTTAAGTGTTCCCTTTATTTTTTTGAGCAGTGTAGTTAAGCTTTAATTAGGTCCCCTTACTAAACCTTCATGTCAAATAACGTTCGGATATGTTCATCTATTCTTGATTAAGAAATCATCAAAGTTTGGGAAAAAGTTGATGTGGGTGGCACTACTGAGCACCCCATGGCCACCAGGGGTATGGGATTGCATAATGATGTCTGATTCATGCAAAATATTATTTGTTCCAAGCCATAAGACTGAGCTGCAAAAAACAAAAAATATATATTTTGGGGAATCCATGACCGGACCTGAGATCTTCCAACGGTTTCCTATGGGTTTATAAAGGTTCATGGCAGAAAACAAGTGTATGTATAGAAATGCTTATATAAACGTTGTTACATCGATATTGACGCCTTTAGAAGCTCAAAAATAGACAATTTAAACATTCACCAGCCTATTTGTGGCCTTTCAAACCCTATACCCATTACCCGCATGGCCTTATAACCGCACCTCTATTGCCATGGTCCTCGGCACATCATATTCCTGATAAGCAACAATGAGGAAAATGTATTCTCACCTATTCAAAAAAAGCAGTTGTGGCATGATTTGGCTTTGACCTTCATCAAATATTTTCCGCGGACAACTAGCCTAGAGCCCAAGCAGATAGACGGTCTGTCTCCATGCGCTAAACATGCTGCATGTCAATATGACTCAGGGGTAGGCCTATATCCAACAGAAAAAAAATGCAGGTAAATCAAATCAAATCCAATTTTATTGGTCACATGCGCCGAATACAACAGGTGCAGACATTACAGTGAAATGCTTACTTACAGCCCTTAACCAACAGTGCATTTCTTTTTAACAAAAAAAGTAAAATAAAACAACAACAAAAAAAGTGTTGAGAAAAAAAAGAGCAGAAGTAAAATAAAGTAATAGTAGGGAGGCTATATATACAGGCGGGTACCGTTGCAGAGTAAATGTGCGGGGGCACGGCTAGTTGAGGTAGTTGAGGTAATATGTACATGTGGGTAGAGTTAAAGTGACTATGCATAAATAATTAACAGAGTAGCAGCAGTGTAAAAAGGATGGGGTGGGGGGGCAGTGCAAATAGTCCGGGTAGCCATGATTAGCTGTTCAGGAGTCTTATGGCTTGGGGGTAGAAGCTGTTGAGAAGTCTTTTGGACCTAGACTTGGCACTTCGGTACCGCTTGCCATGCGGTAGCAGAGAGAACAGTCTATGACTAGGGTGGCTGGAGTCTTTGACAATTCTGAGGGCTCTCTTCAGCTGTAGAATTTGAGACTGAGACCCA